TCCCCACACACCCCGCCCATGACTCCTGAAGGCTCTCAGGTGAAACTGAAAGTGTCAGCTGAGCTCTCAACATTAGTTCTCACTCAGTGCAGCTCTTTTCAGATTAAAAATTCCTTTGAGGAAATGTATTTTCAGATGCCAAGTGAACTGCATCATAGCGCACACGTGAAACAACCCCACCCCCCACCGAAATGGGCGGGACAGAAGCGGAAGGTGGTTTTTAAGGAGACAGAGGCCAATTTCAAGATGTTTAAAACAGTGAGTGATGAGAAGATAAGTTTATTTTCTATTTAAACATAAAACCAGCATTTTAATAGCAGCTAAAGGTGACATAGATACTTTATTTTGGTATAGAATTTAAAAGTATGCCTGAGAAACCCATAATATTGCCCCTTTCAAACCTAAAGTAAAATTAGTTTTCTGAATACTGACATCTAAATACACAAAAAAGTAAAGGGTATGTCAAACTAGCATAAATCAGACAATGCTCTGTAATCTGGAAATAAGTCTGTTATTTATGTAAACACTGTACTAGAATAGTTAAAATAAGTCTTTGCATGCAAATGTGGCAACTAGTTCTTTCAGAAAAAAAAAAACTAAACGGGAAGATCTCTTTTTTCAGTTTTGCCTATAAACATGGTTGTGTTAGTAGAATAAAATGTTGAATCAAACAGATCCACATGGCTCATCTAAGTCAAAGTCTGCACATCATAAAACAATATGACACACATTTATTACCTGCAGGGAATAAAACRATGGGGGGTATGTGTAATGTATTTCTTAACCAAATAGGATAATACAGGGCATTGTATAGAACAACTGATACCAAATGACTCATTTGGGCTCATCTGGAGATAATGAGGTAATGTTTTGTTACGCCATTATATACAGTTGTCTTGACTCCTTCACTCCCAGAAATAATAGCATAGTTAAATGAAATGGTTGTCAAGGCCATGACATGCAAAACACTGGCTTTTTACAAGGTATTATTTATTCTCTACAGCTCTCAAAGAAAGAGAACAAATTTTAAAGCATCAGATAGTTACAGCTTGTAATGCTTTTAATTTTATCAGCTTTAGTAAACATGAAATTTTCATTTTCTCTCAGCTCAGTGTCCTCTGATGTTCAAACTTCAGACCACATGCCCAGTCCACTGCCACACTGTGGTGTGGTCTGTTTATATTAGCTGTTAGCACCGCTTGAAATCCAAACTAATGGTTTAAAAAGAAAACATTGAACCTCATTTGAATTCGCTGCTATAAATGAGACTTTATGCCTGATATGAACAGAGTCAGATGTGAAATAATAATGTTCTGGCCCAATGTGTTGGTCTTTTAATAGAATTAAGTATGTTGTTAAAATATATGTAAAAATAATATTGGCATTTTCTATTCTTCCACTATAACAAATAGGTCCCCAACACATTCTGGTTATTTGTGGCCAACATACCATTTGAGTCTCCCTGGAAACGTTGAAGTATTTTGATTGGAAAATTTCTAATGCTAGAGCCAAACCCTGAAGCAAAACATGCTTTCATTGTATGATTTAAAAGTTTTGTTAGAGAGAGAGAAAAGGGACAGCTAAACGTCCTTGGGTTTAGTGGAAGATAGACCTATGAACACTGCCAGTACGTTCCTCAAGAAACCATAGGTAAACAACATTTTGGGACCTGATGCATTTTCAAGACAACACGCTTAAGATGGTCTTGATGATGTTTTAAAACCCACGTCTTGCTGCCATTTATCAGTCTATGTGGTTCAATACTGTCATGTCCAGAGAATCTACAATAATAACTTTCAGTTATTTCCAAACTTCAAGTGTCTCAGGTTTACAGATTTAGTAAAGTTTAGAGCTGTTCTAATATTATACAAAGCAAAGAATTACTGTATTTACTTCCTGGTAACATCGTGGACAAATGTAAAGAGTATTTCAATTTGTGGTGTGATTTTGTGGAAAGGTTCAGATGACAATATCAAAGGAAGCAAATCAGTTCAAGAAAATGATCAAAAACAATATTTTGTCAGGCTATTGAGATGTGGAAAGTTGTTGGGCTAAGTGTAAAATGTGATTAGGTTAAGTAAGAACTGAGTACTGTGTTGCTTTATAAAAATATTTGTTTATGTATAAAAGAAAAATAGGACTGCATAAGCATTTGTTTCATCTACTCATTTTGGCTCTGCTTGACACATACCTGATTTCAATTACCTAATTTCCCTCTGGGATCAATAAAGTATTTTTGAATTTGAATTTAATTTGAATATGTTTAATTCAGTTTTCTTGTTATATTGTTTTTATTTTATTTTATTTATTGAAATGTTTTAAACACATTTAAAAATAAATACATAAATCAGATGTAATCCTAGCAGGTAAAGCYAAAACACTGCCAAGAAAGGAGATAGTTAAAAACAAAATACAGTGAAAATGGTGTTTTTTTAGGAGAATGTGTTATGCAAACAATTGTAAATACAAAAGAAAGAAAGAAAAAAAAAACAGCCAGAAACCATGTCTCAAAGATCTCCTAACAACTGCCAGCAGAGTACACATACTATTTGCCATAACAAATGGACACCTAGTTTAACAYATATATGTTCCCATTTTATGGTCAAAACACCTCTGACTAGCCAAGGCTTAAATAGATTACATATGAGGATTCCCTAGGGTGTCCTTTGAGCCTGATAATTGCATGGGTGGGGTCTGTGTGGACAAAGGCTGGTTTATACTTTGATTTGCACGTCTTGTTCCCCCTGACTTTGCGGCCCGGAGCACGTGATTGGTTAGAACTTTGTGGGTGTGTTTGTTCATGAAGAACGGTCCAGCAGTTCTGCCTTCTGCTGGTTATTTTATTTGAAATGATTATTTCTTGGTCTGAAGCCAGTTGTTAAAAGAGCTAGAAGAGCAGCTGATTTGAACCTATTGAACGTGGGCACGCAGCTGACTTTCCACATCTTTTTTTTCCCCATCATGGCTGTTAATGCAAAAAAATAATAATAATTTTCCTCCGCGGACTCTTCTTCACCCAACACAACACTGATCATTGAGAGTAAAAATAAAATAACACAATATCCATCCATCATTATTGCTGTTTATGTACTTATATGAGCTGTGGGAGGGCAGTGGGAGGGATTCTGCTAATTTTATGGTCTACCGTGTCTTCAGAACATTTATACTCGCTCAGGAAGAAGACGTCCAAAATACGCAATCACCAACCCGCTGTCTCACGTCATATTGAAGTGTAATCCAAGCTTGTTTTCCATAGATACAATATAAGCACCATCAGATTATCTCTACATTATCTCTCTTCTTTGAATTAGTAATATTTTATGGTAATGCCGTTGCATTTTGGAGAAGTGATCAGTCTACCAAAATGTCAAAGCAAACACCCATGTGAATTATGCTCCCAGAGAAAGATTGTATTGGAACAAGATGAGAAGTTGTCCAAAGAATTTCACAAGATAACATTTTGGAATTCATTGATGTTGACCAGGAATTAAAATAAAAGAATACTTACTGGAAGACAGAGCCCATCCTTTTGCCATTTTCGGGAACTCCAGGATCAGGACAAACATCACCAGCGAGACCACTCTGACT